TTGCTAGGTGGTACGAGACAGCTTTGTTTGCAACCGGACGAACTCCGTTTAATTCAATGAAGCAAACAACTGACAATGCTAAATTAAATTGCAAGGGTACGCTAAAATTAATTGAAAACAAGCCAAATAATTTCAATGAAAAATAAATCACAGGAAGAGGTAACTTGATACATTAACAACTCTTTTGACGCGCTGACAGTTTCTCCGCGTCTGATGTTTTTGTTTTCCTTGTCATAATACTTACTGATTGATGATTTTGTTTTGATTTTTGAGTTTTTTAGCCTGCAACTCGGCCACGACCTTTGCTTTTTCCGTGAAAAATGGGGAAGTTTACGTCAATTTGACGGACATTCCATTTTTTTTAAACTAACGAAGCACACTGTTTAGCACTCCTATTTTTTTCATTTGCCGATTTCTATTCAGAAAAATTCGACCGCTCGAAAATGCATCTTAATTTTGCACTCTTAAAACATGTCAGATTTCCAACACTAATTATTTAAAACCGGTCGAAAGTTTAAAACTGTTACGTTAGGAACTGGAGCTCTCTCCTTGCAGGCGACCGTCGCCGGTAGTACAACAGCATGTTTTGTACGTACATCCGTGCGCTGATTGTCTGCGACCGTCTTAGAAAATCCCTGAATAAGGCGTTACCAAAACGGAAAAAATAAAAAATTGCCTCCTTAAAAAACGAACAGAATTCAAATATTTCTTTTAACAAATATGTTGCAGTGGGAAAAATGGGATTGGAAACGCTGAACAAAACTTCTGTGCCTCGCGTTTCGATTCTAGGATTACGCGATTATTCATTATTGTGCGTTCGCTTCCTGGAGTTGGTTCTCAATACTACATAAAAATCATCGAGGATAAATAATTTAATATCCAACTTTGTATACTTCACGGTAAACCACAGGCTCTAGATTTTTTATTGAAAATACATCGAAGAGAAGCCATGATGTTTTGATCGTGATAAAAGGTCACCTTCCTAGGACCGCCCCCTGTTTAATAATTCATGAGATGACGTAATGTTTACTGGGCATTGACACGTGTTTTTACCGACCCCACCAAAACACTAGTATGAATGACGTGTTTCTGATTTATATATTCAAGAGCAGTTGTTCTGGTCCAACGATTTTACATAAAATGTCTATGTCTATACGTTAACTTTCAATTTCAATAGTCTAGAAAGTATGACAAAGCAGTAATTCCCGGTTTAACGCGCAAATATGCAAATTAGCCTTTTTCTCGTCTTCTATTTTTGGTGAATTCTTGGGTTTTAAATTAAAATAGCTGATAGACGCTTTGGCCATTTGCCTCGAAAATTTCACACATTATTGACAAGGTGTTCCCCCTTCAAAATGCGTCCGGACAGTTTATTACGGCGAGTGGAACAAAAATAACAAGTCCGCAATTAACATGGATATTAAATTATGCAAAAATAGAAAAGAGTGAACTTTGAGGTCATGCTGTGCGACTTTGAAAGCCGTTAGAGAGATGAGTGGACGCATTTGAATTAGTAGTATACCAAGGTATCCAGTGATGTAATTTTACCCACAAACGGACTTGAAGATTTTAAGCTAATTTTTTTTAAACCACTTTTGTCCAAAAAAGCATATTTTTGACCCAAAATCAAAAACGCATTCTGGATATTTAAAATAAAGACAAGTTTTACAAAGTTTGTATAATAAGCTTTCAGAAAATATATAACATGTTGGATACATAATACCATCTTCATTGTCTAATTACTCAATTAAAAAGCAAGCCAAATAAACTGCATCTCTACCTTAAATGACACATGGCTGATAGTGAATACATACCTGACATCTTGCAGTAAATTACCAGAGTTAACACTAGCTTGGTCTACGAATACTTCATAAGAATTGTCCGGTCTTACAACTATAAAATAAACATTTTGCATAAAACATACAAGATACACTTGTGGAACAGAGACATGCTAGTGTCTTATCTGTTTAAGCAAAAAACCAAAATCACCGGTAGTTGATGATAGATACAGACTCAGTGAAATCTACAGATGTGAGCTACAGAAAAAATACATGCTGATGCTAAGTTTGTTTGAAATAATCTAACAGTAATTGGAGAAATATTCAAACAAAATATTGAGACTATTAGAAGGGAAGAACTTTTTGAGTAAGCATGGTTTTCTGTGTGTGTGAGTTTTTTGAGGCAATCTAGTTGCCTTTTGTATTTATTTTTAATATTCCAAAAATATAAAAGGATTAAAAGAAAGGAAAAGTGTCTAAGAGCGTTTTGTGTTGTCATCATTTTTCAATATAGTAATGTTAAGATGTCCTTTCGGACATGTTCATTGATGAGCACAACCACTATCATGTGACCATGTTCTATCCAATTTGTACTACAATTGTAAATATTTTTGATTGATTAAACATTACCTGAATAAAGTGGTCAAGAATTATCTCCTCTATTGTATACCATTTTATAACCAGGGTACGTGATATACCCGATAGCATTTGTAAATCTTAAACAAAGTATCCCAAACACCACCAGCTGATATGGCATACAACAGCGCACCATCGTTTTAGAGAGTGAGTGATATAAACCAGCACACTCCATGTTGTTTCAATTTGTGTTTGAGACACATTGTATTTTCCCATGCAAATTTCACCTACTGTAAAATCTGTATTAGAAGGTACGACTTTTATATTAAAATGGTACAGTCAAACCTGTCTATAAAGGACAGTCAGTGGACTGAGCCAAACTGTCCTTTATAGACAGGTGGTCTTTATATGGAGGTGGCCTAATTTATTCATTTAATCATGAATATTAATTAGGACCGGAATTTTAAGGGAGATCATAAGCAATACATAAAAACAAACCTACACATTGTACAATGAATATATCTTTTACAATAAAAGTCACTCATTTTCATCTGGATAATTACAGCTTTACTTTTTTACTACAAATTATATCATGTAAATTCACTGGAACCAAGTGATTCTGCCCATGGATTCATTGGTCTATTTAATGCATAAGAACAATTGTCAACGATCGGCCGCATTGGCATTTCAGCTCGGACTTTCACACTCTCGCCAAGCAGTCTTATTCCCCAGTCTCTTACACATACTGTGGAATACTTTATTTTCGCTGGAATTAATTTTCGCTGAAAAAGCTTTTTGGGCATTTTGCTTGGAATTTATTTTCACTGATTTTTGATGAGATTAATGTAAAATATAGGAAAAAATATATATTCACTGGATTTTATTTTCACTAAATCATCCCTTCAGCGAAAATAGCAATAATAAATTCCAAGCGAAAATAAAGTATTCTACAGTATTCCATCACAGGCGGTAATCAGTCCCATCGTTAGTATTGTCGATTGTACACTGACAAAATGCACAGGCAAAGTTGCCGTGATTGAAAAAACAAACAAGCATTAAAAAAGAAGAAGCATTGGTAATAAACAAAATTGACCAAACTCATAACGATTGCTACAACTCTCAGTGTTGAATCAGAAAGTCAAACGACCGGAAATGAAACACGGTGATCGTACACGCAATTTTACAGTTATTTGTTGCAAGCATCGACGTGTCAAACTGCCCAAACGAATTTTCTCGATTGCGAAAATATTGATATTACCGTTTATAAAAA